AATGCTCCACACGCTAAGAAATTCTGACTCCACAGCACAATATAAAAAAACCCCTCCCCTGTCAAAGGGTTAAAAATCTACCTGATTTGAAGGCTTTTCCTCTAAAACCTGCTATAATGACTCAGATATTCTGAGGCGCACCTTTTGGCTATTACTTTCTTGACACCTGCAAAAGAAAATTAATAAAAAAATGTAAATTATGCATTTTGAAAGGAAGTGAAAGAGTGATTGGGCAAATGTGGCCCTTGTCTCTCAGTTCAGCATCCTGTCAACTCATTTAATTAGCAATTTAATGTTCAGAATATCTCCATTTACAATTTCCTGCAATTGTTTCCCACAAAAAATGCTTCCTTCCTTAGCTAAAACCTCTCTTACTAGAAACCTCCCAAGTCAAATTTTTTCGTGATCCTCAGAATTTGGAAAGCTTCAAAAACTGGCCTTGTATTTCTAGAGAAACAACTTCTGATTTGGTCGCTAGAAAAAGGACTTCAGGAAGCATGTCAGGAAGGTATGGAAGAATTTGTGGGGCTTGGATGAAATTCCCTCATGATTGGAAGGTATAGAATTGTATTCTAATTAAATGGGAATTCAGTTTTTTTTTACACTTTAGGAAAAGAGGGAAAGTGAAAGCATTTTCTACGTACAGTATTATGATTTTTAAACAAATTCAGCAAACCCCTCTCATGCATCCTCAAGATTTCCGCGCCTTCGCCACCAAAAAAAAAGTTCCATAAATTTTCTTGCGCCTGTTTCGATCCTGGCAAAAATTAAAGAAAATTCCCGTCAACCAGTCAGTGGTTTTCATGCAATTTCTTTTCAAACAGGGAAATGGGCAACTGGCGGTGTTTCGTTTAGTGACAATAGAGGCAAGGACGGGTGGATGATGAACTGGTTGTCAACGTTGTTATGAGGGGGAATTTTTCCGCAGCTGCTGGATTTCGTTACAAGTCTTTATTTTCTTTTTATTTTACTTCCGCGTACTGGAACGAAATACCGACGCAAAAAAGAGGCTTTAAAACCCTGTTTTTCTTCTTATGAATCCATAAAAAGGTTGGCAATAAATTGTATTTTGTGAAGGTTAAATGGAACTTCCAATTTGATGACGCGATTTGATATTTGATTGAAGGTCTAGCCTTGGGTTCATTCTGATGAGAGGTATAGTCAGTGAAAATTGCTCATTTGCAAGTTACTATTCTGAAGCAGACTCATTTCGAAGTTTTTATTGCCTGCTGATTGAGCTGCTATAGCTGTTTGCCTATTTCGCACCTCGTTGGCGAAATTTGAAAATTAATGGATTCTGAAAAAACAGTATCAAACAACTGAATTTTCTCAGTTTTATGCAGTAATGTGAGCAGCATTTTGTGAAATACCACACGTAAGTTCTCTTCGGAATTTTGAAATAAAAGTGATAATGAACCTTTTTTAGAATGTTTTATTTTTAAAAAATGCACAGTTCAACGGGACCACAGCCTGTAGACTATTCGACTTATAAAAGCTTGAAAAGCTGAAAAAAATATCCTAAATCTGAGCAACGTCTGAAAATATAAAGACACTTCCAAAATTTTTTAAATAAACATTTTCATATTTTTTATTCCGATTAAACGCTTTGAGCTATGCTGCTGACATGAAAATTTAAAATCAAAACCAATAAATTCATTAAATTAATTTTAAAAACTCAACCATTTTATTCATTTATAAATTTGCTCCGATTCATTTTCAGAAAAAATGCTATTATTGTGCGTTTGTATGTGTTTTTCTTTAAAAAAAAACTGCGTTCAGTGAAATCATATTTATTTGTAGTATTTGCATTTTGGCCTCCTTTTTATGCCATAATGAAGGGATGCTGCACATGGTTTTCTTCAGTACAAATATTTCTGCGTTTTAAGTTTAAGAAAATGTTCTAATGCATTTTATGAGATCTTTTTTATTGTTTGTCAAGCAACAGAAGTGATTTAAAATTTTTCGATTGAAATTTCTGAAAAAAGGTGATTTGACAAGCACAGGTTCCGACGTATTGACACAGTATCTGATGAGAAACTGCTTCAGCAAAATTTGTCAATTCATGATTTATTTTCGGATTCTAGGATATGCGTACGGATTTATTGGAAAAATAATGTTGTTTTTACTCTTTTCAACAGTGTTTTGTCACGATGTGAATGTGTGGTGTTTTTCTAAACTGCTTAAAACACCAAGCTTTGTCAAAGGACTCAACATATTAAACGCCCATGGAAAATTGTTGCCATTGCTAAAACTCGCTAGTTGGGTCACGACTACGTTCACACCACTTACTTCTTAACACCTGGTTTCACGTGAATCCTTTTAATATCGTCGTCGATTACTTCCGGCAAATTCCCCGAGGAAAACTTCCTAGTCGTCCCAGCAAAGTTGCTCAACGTCATCTGACGTGGAAAAGTGATCGTCGTTTTATTTTATTCTTCATCTTGAAGATCGATTTTTGTGTTTTAAAACGATTGGCTATTGAATTAGTGAATGCCTTAATTTGACGGAAGAAAAAAAAATGCTAGACTCAAAAAGAGCATATCATTTTGTGATGTCAAGACATTTTGAGTTCTTTTTGAGAACCTTGAGAACTGAAGTCGGTTTAATCCTATCCTATCCTAAACCAAAAAACAATCCTTTTTATCCTAATAAACCAGAAAACAAGGGAAAGCAATTACAATTATGGAGCTTAATTTTTTTTAGGGGACCGGAAGAATCAATTTTCTTAAATTTTGAGTCATCATAAAATAAACGAGAGGATTATTCGTAGTCTAGAATGATTTACATGACGTCTTAATTTTAAAAATCAAATAGTCAAGTGAAACTGAAATTCTGTGATCCCGGATTTTGAAGTCAATAACCATTTTTGAGACATTCTGTGAAAAGAATAATTGATCGGTGTTTAACGTTTTTGAATCTAACTTGAACAATGAATCCAAACAAAGATTGTATCTGGAAACTAAAGAATTCAGGCCATAGAACAGGAACATAAAAGTGAAGTTTTTGGCCTGTTCCTTATTCCACATTAATGAATAATTTCCTTTTTCTTCATGATGAATCAATTCTTGGATATTAAAACCTTTCCAAATTCCTTCCAGAACTGATGTCGAAATTTTTTGAGCCGTTTTATTTTGCCTAGTAAAATTTTGCAATTTTTTTATAACTTCCATTGAATTAATTGGGAAAACCGGAAGAGGTGACCAGAAAACCGACGATTTATTTCTAGTATTCCCCTTTTCTTGCAATTCAATCGTCAGATATCCGAATATTTAAAATATTTTCATCATCACAAAAGACGAGGCCGTGCTATACATGAAATCTGAGAATCCGTTTATTGCTTGCGTCAAACGATGAAACATTATCTCATACCCGATTTCGCTTCAAAGATGTCGAAAACTTGCTCTCATGTTCCGTTTGCCGAAAAAGTTTAACCGCAAAAAAAGCAAAGACGAACGAAAGGGGTGGGATACTGTTGCCAAACACGGTCATTTGTTCAATCAACCGAAGCAAGTCGTGGAAAAATTCCTCGATAAAATAAATTAACTCTGTTTACGCGATGGAGATTGCAGCACATTTTCGACGAAATAATTTTCGATGCATAAAATCACTTAAAGGATCCACAAGTACTGTGTTTTAATTCTACGCCTAATTAATTGCTTGACAAGGTTTATTTCAGCAAACTCCACAAATTCTTTACAGGTGTAAGGCTTGTAAAATTCCAACCACACAAAATAAAACCTTACAATTATCTGACGTGGAGAAGTGATCGTCATTTTATTTTATTCTTCTTCTTGAAGATCGATTTTTGTGTTTTAAAACGATTGGCTATTGAATTAGTGAATGCCTTAATTTGACGGAAGAAAAAAAAAATGCTAGACTCAAAAAGAGCATATCATTTTGTGATGTCAAGACATTTTGAGTTCTTTTTGAGAACCTTGAGAACTGAAGTCGGTTTAATCCTATCCTATCCTAAACCATAAAACAATCCTTTTTATCCTAATAAACCAGAAAACAAGGGAAAGCAATTACAATTATTGAGCTAAATTTTTTAAGGGGACCGGAAGAATCAATTTTCTTAAATTTTGAGTCATCATAAAATAAACTAGACTAGAGGATTATTTGTAGTCTAGAATGATTTACTTGACGGCTTAATTTTGAAAATTTAATAGTCAAGTGAAACTGAAATTCTGTGATCCCGGATTTTGAAGTCAATAACCGTTTTTGAGACATTCTGTGAAAAGAATAATTGATCGGTGTTTAAAGTTTTTGATTCTAACTTGAACAATGAATCCAAACAAAGATTGTGACTGGAAACTGAATAATTCAGGCCATACAACAGGAACAAAAAATTGAAGTTTTCGGCCTGTTCCTTCCAGATGAACGAATAGTTTCCTTTTTCTTCATGATGAATCAATTCTTGGATATCAAAACCTTTCCAACTTCCGATGTCCAAGAGCCGATGTCGAAATCGCTTTGAGCCGTTTTATTTTTCCTAAATTGGAAATGCAAGTAAAATTTTAAAATCTTTTTTGTAACTTTCTTTGAATTAATTGGGAAGACCGGAAGAGGTTATCAGAAAACAAACGATTTATTCCTAGTATTCCCCTTTTCTTGAAATTCAATCGTCAAATATCCGAACATTTAAAATCATTTCATCATCTCAGAAGACGAGGCAATGCACTATATGAAATTTGAGAATCCGTTTATTGCTTGCGTCAAACGATGAAACATTATCTCATACACGATTTCGCTTCAAAGATGTCGAAAACTTGCTCTCATGTTCCGTTTGCCGAAAAAGTTTAACCGCAAAAAAAGCAAAGACGAACGAAAGGGGTGGGATACTGTTGCCAAACACGGTCATTTAAAGTTAGTTGGCTTCGTTCAGCACCTTTTTAAGGAGCTATTTTATTTAATTGAGACAAATGCGCTACCTCTAACGTCGTGTAAAAGCTGCTTTATTAAAAGCTACGTATTTTAGTGAATTTCCTAGGACTTATACGTTTCTTTCATTCAAATAGATACTGCAATTGACCTCATTAAAAAAAATGCTTCGTTGCGTCGTGATTTGTGCCGTACTGTTCTGCTGCGTGCTCGTCAAAGCAGCGACATTCAGTGGATCATATATAAAGTACGCTGCGCCTCGTTTCGCAATTCAGCCGCAGTATGTCTCTACTGGTCCCGCTGTTCCAGGAGGCCCTTTGGTCAGAATTCCAGGAACTTTCGGCGGTCGGAAAGATTATGCTCCGGCGCATTACGTATCTCAATTCGCCAAGGTTGGACTCTTTTATCTCACCCATTCATCGATGATAAAATAATGCAATGTCGCGCGATCCTCGATAGGTGTTCGATAGAATGCGGCGGTCTGGGCGATCCACTCAAGAATCTTTCGTAGCTGCCAAATCGGATTTGCGAGCCAGAGGCTTGGCACCTTGGGTGTGGCAGGATGGGAAATTGCGAAGAGTAGAGAGTCCTGCCCTTTCTGCGAATTCTGTCTCAGAAGTGCCGAGGGAGAAGGTCGTCAGTTATCAAAGAACACCTGCAGCTTTGCAGCCTGCACCACCTGTCTTCGAGGATTTCAGCTATGTCCAGCATTTAGGACAAGATAATAAAGATGTCGCGTTAGTCTTCAGTGAATATTCCAAGTTCATCGATGAAAATCTGAGGATTGGACATGATGAGGTCAGTCATTGAAAAACCTTTTTTTTTATGTATCATTAACACTTGAAATAGGAGACTGGAAATAACTTGAACATTACTGCACTTTTTAAAATTTTAATTTTCTTCTCAATTATTTTGAATGCGCTTTTCGTATGATATTATTAACGATTTTAATCACAGTATTTCACTGATTGTAGATATCCCATTCTAAAGACCAGTTTTATGAAAGATTACAATTCTTGAGTGAAAAATTACCTTTTTCATATATCTAGCTTTAAAGTATATAAAGCCCTTACTTCTTGAGAAACAAAAAATCCAATTCTTAAACTGTTTTTATGCACTACGAAATGGAAAAACCGGTTTAGTCGAAGTCCACTCTTTGATCTTTGTCGCATCATTTCTCTTTTGTTCATCATATAACAGTTTCAGTAAAAATACTCTCCACTAGTTTCAAATCTTCAATTCAGAATACAGTACAAAAATGTCACAGCAGAAATTATACCCTATAGTCAGACAGCGACATCTCCTGAGCAGTTTGTAAAATCCCATTGAAAATAAGGAAATCAGTATTTCTATGCAATCAAACTTGTTGTCCTAATTCCGTAAGAGTTTTATCTTAAGACACTTTTGATCTGGAGAAAACGTCTTTTCTACAGAGTCAATTAATCTAGAGAATGTAAATTCTCTAAGACAAACTTTCAACAAGAAGATTTTGTTCTTATGGCTGGGGTTCGTAAGTAAAACACGACTTCTCAGTTTAGAGTGGATACGTATATTTCTGGTTTACCTCAGTCAACGCCAGACACACGAATGAATGTTAGTTCAATGCGCGCAAGTACCCTTTATAGATTCAACGCGTTCCAGACGCGACTGCGCAAGCGGGATGCAACCAAATCAAAAAGTAGGGCAGGTAAATGACCGCTGTCTAGACAACTGACCTCGTGCGCTTTGGAGCAACAAGTTGCTATGCAACACCATTCCATGATCTGCGTTTTAATGCGCACGGTATTATTGCTCTAGTACAGGACGCAAAGTCTTGGATCACAAACTCTCCCCAGACAAATTGAAAGAAAAGTTCCACCTTTTCAGAGCCAATCATAAGCATTTCCAAAAGCGTTCATGCAAAAAGCCTGACTCCAAGTGAAAAGTGAATAAAATCGATGTCTGTCGAATGATGACACATCTGGGCATCGATTCCCATATGATATGTCATTGCATCAAAAAGTCTTTTGAAATCACTCTGGGGTCCAATTTGAACTCACACATTTTGTGTGGCACCCATATGAGGATCTCAGATGCAGGAGTTCACTGGGTTCATCTTGGAACAGGAATGTGGCAAAAAGTCACACTCTGGGAAGAAACAGGTATCAATACTTGTTTATTTCCTTCCTGAGACATTCCAAAAGGATTCAGGCTTCATTTGAGGCTCATTTCTGGTGGAGACTACATCTCAAGTAAGTCTCACTGAAAGTTCTGATGGTACTAATTTTTAATGTCCTGCTTCTTTTCTTGATATTTTTTGGTGTCTAGGCTATTTTTCGTGATTATTAAGGGCATTTAGAAGACCCTTTCGGCGTCCGTTGCGCTCCGTCGTCGTTATTATCGAGCGCGTAAAAAGTCCGAGAATTCGCGAAAAGTCCGACGGCGTTCGGTTGTGAAGGCTTCAGAGAGCCATTTAGCACGTCAGGGGCCTCAAAAACGACCAAAAACACATCACTTAGCTCCCAGGAAATAAAATCATCAGCAAAAAGAGCAAACATGGGATTTCAGCTAGCAGTGACATCTACACTCCTATGGGTAAGTTGTTGCACCAAAACAGCGAAGATATGGATTTTTAAATACATTCAATATTTTTCTAGGCCTTCCTGGTGACTCTTCAAGATGGAGAGACTAGTTCTTGTGCTGAAGTGGGAGGCAGGATGGCTTGTGAGGACATTTGTGAAGTCAGAAGACCAGCTCTCCATAAGTTTCAAGTGGACTTTGTTGGTGACTCCCTGGACTTGGACTGCATCAGGTATAAGGGTCTGAAGGTGAGCTCTTCCTGGAAAATAAAAGGTAAACATGTATTTGATCCTTTTTCTTGTGAATTTTCAGGAAGTCAGGTTGTTCAACAGGACTTTCTGTTCAGGGAAAGCTCTTGGCATGGAAGAAATTGTGAGACCCTGGAGTCATTGTTTCTTCAAACATACAAGTGAGTTGTTAAAATATCACTATAGAGCCTAGTAATCCAACTTTTTCATTTTTTCAGAGAAACAGAAAACAGTCAAGGAGGAGTCCAGGATTTCAAAACCTACTCAAAAAACTTCACCATACAAGACTTCATCAACAACACCACTGACCTCATCAACTGTGCCAATCGAGCAAAGGATCAGCACCACAAGTCAACCTACAACAATACCTTGGGAGGAAGAGACTGCTACCATCCAGGATCAAGACATCAATATTGTTAATAAAAGTGATGTGACTGTTGAGCCTGAGACCCAGTTAGAGCAAACAGTGGGGATGGTACCTGTAGAGGAGGTGGTGCCAGTAGAGGAGGCCCTTCCCAAGACAACTAGGGGGACCCTGGCAGATATTGCAGAGAAATCTAAAAACTTGTCTATTTCTCAATTGAATATTTCTGCGGGGTTCCCTGATGGGTCAGTTATCCATGCAGAGTTTCCACAATGGTTACTGGAAGCTTTAGTTTGGATAATTGGAGTGTTGGGAAGAAATCTAAAAACTTGTCTATTTCTCAATTGAATATTTCTGCGGGGTTCCCTGATGGGTCAGTTATCCATGCAGAGTTTCCACAATAGTTACTGGAAGCTTTAGTTTGGATAATTGGAGTGTTGGGAGTTGGGTCTCCCTTTGCAGTATTAACAATCTGCTGTTGCAAAAGGATAAAATTGAAGGTGTGTAGTTTTTTGTGGTGGAAGGTTAGCCATGTTTCTAATGGGTTTTTTGGGCCTTTTGCTACTGCTGTGCTTCTTGTGTGCTGGGTTAAATTGTTAGAGGGAATCAGAGGCAGAAAATCAAATGGAAGAGGCGCCTCAATCAGTTCTGAATCCTCTGTTTGAGGAATTGGAGATGACTGAGGCTCCTTCTCTTGCCACAGTGAGGCCTTTGATGTCCTCTTTCAGTGAGTGTCTGTCATCGCTTGCTTGTTTTGCTTTGGCTTGACCCTCTTTTGTCGTCAGGTCCGATCCGAAGCCCTGTCCGGGGAAGAGTTGCTCGCCAGGTGGACTTGGCCTCTCCTTTGTGCTTGGGTGTTGGCGAAGATTCGTTCTAGCCACCCCACTTTTCGCTGCACTCAGCCTGGTTCTGGCCAGGTTGTTCGTAGTGGAAGCCTCTCCAGTTTTTATACTGTGGGAGAAGTTTAGTTATTTTTCGCGCGTATATATATTCGACGCGACTAGAGAGTTGATATTGTTAGGAGGACATGAATAAAAATATGTTGATCCTCCATTCCTTGAATTTTTCTCTTTTTGTTTTCTTCTTTCCGCAGCAATTTTGGCATTTCTCTTTGTCCAGGTATTCGGGATCCTCTTCAAAGGAGTAAAATAAGCAAGTATAAATCTGTCACACACATAAAAATGATAAAGTGTACACACACACAACTAAGCTGGGTAAAAACATGAGAGCACAACTTAGCATAACCTAAAACACCATACAATCCTAATCCCAAATCTAGTGGAGCCTTCAAGACCTTCAAAAGGTGGTTCTTGTACATTACTTGATTGCCATTAAGCCCGTTGAAGCACTGATCTACAGTCTTGGGTATTGAGGAGCCAGGGGGGCACTCCTGGAGGGTATCAATTCAATGTTTGCGCTTTCTATAATGTTAGCATTTCTCCTGCGTCTACGGATGATAATGTACCGTATTTTTGCGAAACATAAATACATGATGCTGATTAGTATGATAGACAATAGTATTACTGACACTATCAGATAAATGTATCCATGATCTCTAAAATGAATTTGGAGTTCACTAATATCTTCGGCCACTGAACTTCGTGGTTTAAAGGCTGGAACTTCTTCTACAGCATTTATTTCCACGTTTTCTAGCTTGGGCAGAATTTCCTTGAATGGTCCGTTCACTAGGGTATATCTACAATTCTGATTAAATTTTAAGATACCAGAATACGGCAATTCGTATGAATTCTCAGATGCAGGAACTGTTCCATTTTCGCTTTCAGCACAATATTGAGTTACCCTTCCTTTGTCCGTATCTATATACGCAAATTTGTCCCTATCTAACTGAACTACCATGTTTTATTTCAGCACAATATTGAGTTACCCTTCCTTTGTCCGTATCTATATACGCAAATTCGTCCCTATCTAACTGAACTACCATGTTTTCAGGACTGACAATTGGTTTCATAGGACAAGCCTCTCGAATTGCTTCTTCATTTTCTCCAATTTGGATCTTTCTAACGCATTTGCTGGCAGGTCTGATAGGGGCATGATTGGCTCTGCAAATTTGACAACCCGAATGTCCTATTCTTTGCAGACACATGGGTATTTCTGTACCATGGGCTGCGTAATACTGCTTTCCTCTCTTTAACAGAAAGGGATGTTTAATTTCTGCTTGCAGCCACTTTGGGGGCCCTAAATAGGTTTCTCTGGCTATGGGAACTGCATGTACCCTTGAAACATGAATCACTTCGTCTGCAGAAATAACTGGTACTATTGTAATGATCTTGAGATGACACTCTCCAGCTGTGGCTGTCAAGTTGGCACAATTGAACGTTCCTACTGTTACTGGGTTTGACTTGATTATGTGAACCAAATCCGTTGCTGTTACTTTGGATTTTGCATATCTAGGTTCCACATCGAGAATTTCTTGCATGACTCCATGCACTTGACCAATGTCAAACATGTGAATTGGAAAAGCAAATTCTCTAATTGATTCGATATCCCCTTGAATAGTATCGGCTACGTTTTTTAGTTGTCCCAACTCAGATCCAATAAGAAGAGTCTTCAACCAAAAATTAATTAGAGAACGGTTGGTCAAAGTGACGTCGTTGATTAATTTATCGAAAACTTTGGCATGACCAAAATCGGTAAATGTTAACAATGACGATGGTTTGAGGTATGCTCTTTTGCTATTTGATTGTAGTTTCGTTAGGGGGGAAATTCCTCTCTGAACAATTGGTAACAGGTTCAAATAAGGTGTTTCATTCCCCGGGTCGCTTGCTGCAGTTTCAATTTGCATAGCCAGATTATCTAAAGTTAGGTCTAGCATACTCAGTTTATGGTCCAGCATTTTCAAGGATACATTGGCTGGGCCAGATAATTTCAAATCATTTTTGTCCACATCTATTTTAACACTTTTTTTGCAAAACCGTACACTCTTTTTTGAACCTTTTCTCCCATGTGATAAAACTTTCCTAAGTCCACTGACGATTCCATTGTCCAAAAAGTTGTGGGAATGCACATTTTACTTAGATCTTCAATTGTTACTCCTACGTTCCCTGGAAATGTTCTAATGGGAGAAATCTTGTCTAACCTGTTGCTGTTGGATACAATTCCACGATCTTCTGCCACTTCTTTGATTAACAGGCTATTGCAAATAATTGTAAATTGAATGTGGAGAAATATAACCCTGAATCGAAACATGTTGACGAGGGCGCGTTTTGAGCATAACTGCGCAGTTTGCGTACTTATCTGGGTACTGAAGTTGACCTTCTGGCTTCCCCGCGCATGCGTGTAGGTAGAATGTTGTCGCTATCTATTCCACTCAACATGCGTGGCCTTACCGATCCTTTTTCCTTTTTCGGTTCTGTTTCGTTCCCTTTTTTCCTCTGCTCCATCTCTTTCTGCTCTGCTTCCTGTTGTTTTTTCTTGGCTTCTTTCTTTCTTTCCTTCTTCTTCTGACTCTTGGATTTTGATGAGTCACGGTTTACGGCTGCGGTTGCTCCTCTGTCTGGAGTCTGTTGCAGCGGCATCTGTGACCTTCTAGGAGTACTGGATGACTCCGGCGGTGCAAGGACACTGTTGGTGACTGCTGGCAAGGTTGTCTCAGGCGGTTCATTGTCGTCTGAGCCTGATTCCGGAGAGAAAAACTTCCCCAGTTCCGTAGTCACCTCAGAAAGAAAGGACTTATTAGCTTTGCTAGATTTTGGAGTAGCTATAACAGTCTTATTAGCATCCTCAGTGGAAGCAAAGGACTCATTTCCGACTTCTGTCGTTTCCACGTTAGGGGAATGAGTAGGTGTTCCATAGAACATCATGTCAGGAGCAGACACGTCAAAAGCAGCTGATTTATTGGCTACCTCTTCGGGCTCTTCTGGAATTTCTGCTTCTAATTCTTCAGTCTCATTCTCCATCAATGATTGAGTGATTTCGTCGTCATCCGTTTTTTCAATGGGTTTCTCTGGTTTGCTTGATGGAGTAGACCATTTTTTTGGGTTGCGCATTGGGAAAAACCTTTTGTTCGACTTCATCAAAGTCTTCTATTTCCTCAATTTCTAGGTTGGTATCTAAATTAGTAGAATCTGCATTTCGGACTTGAAAAGGTCAAATATAACTAGTATGAACTACATTGGTCCAACTGCTATGCTGGTCGTCTCGAATGCGCACCACGATGGGATTGACAATTTCAATAATTGTGTAGGGACCTTTGTATTTGGCACTCCATTTCTCTCCCACAAAGGAGAGGGGGTGTTGTTTAGGCCAAATTTTGTCTCCTACATTATAAGCTGTTCCCTTCCGGTGTACATTTAACCGTTCTAAATACGAAGCTTGGCCTTTTCTAATGGCTGCTCGGGCTTGTTCTCTTAAGGATTCAAGCTGTTCTTTTTTCACCTCATAATATTCCCTTATACTTTGGAATTGCTCCAAGTTTTGTTGGCTGGAAAGCCAATTTCTTCTTGGTTTCATTCCTGTTACTATCTCAAAGGGAGAGGCTTGTAAAGCTTTGTGCTTAGAGCTGTTGTGGACCCATGCTGCTAGTTTAAGTAGTTCATCCCAGGTACTTCTATTTTCCGGGTCTAGATAGAGCGCCAGGTATTCGTGTAACTCGCGATGGGACCTTTCATTTTGCCCGTTACCTTGGGGTTGATAGGCTGTAGTTGTATTTGCCCGAGCTCCCAGTAAACTAGCCATATCGCAAAACACACTACTTACAAAGTTTGTCCCGTGATCGGTTAAAATTCTCTTTGGAGCTCCAAACATACAAACCCATTCGGTCAAGAATAGTCTAGCGGTGGTCTTGGCAGATGCGTCTTTCATTGCTGAGAAGACTATCCAGCAAGACAACCGATCTTGAATTACTAGAATATTTCTGTTTCCCCTTTGACTGTTCGGTACGGGACCCACCACGTCGACACTAATGTCTTCAAAGCAATTCTTTGGAATACCTGTGCTCAAGTAGGGTGTTTTGTGGGAGAAATTCTTAGTTTTCTGACATTCGATACAGGAATGGACATATGACGTAACATCCTTCTCTATATTGGGCCAAGTAAATTTTTCTCGGATAGCAAAAGAAGTTTTATCGATTCCGCAATGACCCATAGATGGCAGATCAAGAAAACTGGAAATTATCTTTTCTCTCAAAGAAGGCGGAACCCAAATGCGTTGCCCGTTGGTTGTCTTCTTCATCAACAATCCATCCTGCATGCGAAATTCTTCTCCAAAAGGAATTTTTCCCTTCAAGGAGGCAGTAGGGCGCTGTAACATGCTTCTAGAAATGTAAGGAATCAGATTAGTTTCAAGCAAGACAGGAGACAAAAAGGCACACAGTTTCTTAGTTTTCGGATCGGGGGGAAATCGGCTTAAGGCGTCAGCATGAGGGATCGAAAGTCCCTTTTTATACTCAACTCGGTATTCATATTCGTTGAGTTTCATAAACCAAGCGATTGCCCTTCGACTGTTGCTCTGTCTCTGACGACTTAGGTAGGGGATAGCAATATGGTCTGTTCATATTACAAAAGGATGTCCCCATAGATATGAGCAAAACTGTGAAACACCATAATATACTGCTAGTAATTCTCTATCAGTATTAGGGTATCTCGATTCCGCATCATTTAACGTCCGGCTCGCACATCCGATTAATACTTCCCTCTTACTTGTTTTCTGTGTGAGTATTGCTCCTATGGCAATAGCAGAGGCGTCTGTGGTAAGAATAAATTCTTGGTCAAAACCAGGGAAGGAAAGTACAGGTGCCGACAACAGACATTTCTTAAGACATTCTACAGCGTCCTGTTGCATTTTCTCCCATTTGAAGGCTGTATCCTTTTTCAGAAGGATATACAGTGGTTTTGCCTTTAGAGCAAAATTCTGTATATA